GTCAAGCTGATCTGAAAAAGTGCCCACAAAAGCTCATGATTTAGTCTCTAAGGTGCCACAGGTCAACTTGTTTTCAAAGTTGCAAACTAACATGGCTACTCCTCTGGGACCATCCTGCAGTATGTGTCACAGAGCGACTGGCCCTATGTGGAACAAATGAACCCCCACCCCCACCTGTTACCGGTACCAGACTTCTGAGGAGCAAGTGGCCCTTTTTAAAGCCCCATTTAGAGTGAGGGAAATGGCAGAAGGCAGGTTGGACTGCTGAGGTTAGGTCTGGGGCAGGACCACACCCAGGCCAGGAGCAAAGAGAAGGACTATAACGAGCAGAGAGGCTCCCATAGATGACCTAAGTAAGAGGAAGATTTCAGAGAACTGCTGGCAGACAGGAAAGCGTGGCTATGCCCATTTCAGCCCCTTCTAACAAACTAGCTCACACCATTCTGTGTTTGTAGGATTTTCTCTTCACCCCCCCAAGCCCAAACTCCATAGCCCAAGTCCAGCAAACCATGTGAGCAAGAGCTTAACTTGAAGCACAAATGGTTCTATTGAAGGCAAGAGAACTCTTCATGCTCTTAAAATCAAATCCATAGCGCTTTATTTGATTGGCGCTGAGAGGCAAATACCCCGAGCCACCCTACAACAAAGGGTGTAAAAAGAGGGGAAAAAATTTCAACTGTAAACATCCAAAGGATACTGCAAACCAGGCAGATAATTAAACCATGGACATTATGAAAGATACATCGGTAGGGACACAGGAGGGTGGAGATGGTTAATTTACGTATTGCCAGAATGAGCAGGGTTCTTCTGGTCCAGGCCTTCTAACATTTACTCTCAATTGTGTCTCCATGATTAAATTCAGGCCCAGAAAGGGGAAGGTTACATAACGAGCAGTTGGTTCAGTTCAATAAGTTTTCATTTCAAGAGTCTTATCTTAACTAAGAACAAACTAAAGATAGTAGGAGCTTGAGCCCTTCTTATTCAAACCCTTTAAGGACAGAAAAATTCCTCCACCAAATTGCAATGACTCAGATGCAATTAAGACAAAGATAACATCAGCAAATCTCCCCAAGTCTAGTAACAAGCTATTCCCGAAGCACAACACAGGATGCTCTGGCAGCTGCTTACCAGCATTCTCAGCATTGTTTGGGTGGTGGCATTTTGTTTAGATTCTTTATCCGCTCCGATTTAGAAAGTGGCCTCGTTCATTTGACCAGGGATCACGTGAACAATCACAATGCATTTAACAGGAGCGAGCATTTAAAAGCTCTCCCCATCACTTAGTCTCACTGCTGTTCTTTACAGCCATATGGACAGAGAGTACTCGGAAGATTCAGTTGACTGCCTGCCACACCTTTTGGAAGATTTATTGGGATTTTCACATCTGCGAGAGATTTTGTGGCATGATTAGAGACATTCTGGGAGAGCTTGGATTTGGCAAGCTTCACCAAGCACTCAGGGCTTAAGAAAGTTTCCCCAAACTATGAAGAGGGATGTATCAAGCTATTGATCAGCACGTCGTAAATTCTCCCCTTGCTGCAGCCAATTCCCAATATTACAATAAGAATTACTCACCTTGAAGTATAAAGGGGCTAGTCCAGTGGTGAGCAAGCTACAGCCCCAGGGCCAGGTGGGGCCCACTGGGGTTCTGTGTGTGGCCCATGAGACATTGTGTTTACAGTTGCCCGTGCACAGGGCCTCCAGATTCTGCTGGTTTTGTTTTCATAGGTTTTTTTCCCTACTGGTATCACAAAAGCGACGTGCACTTCAAGCAAAGGCACGTGACGCGAGGTGCGTGCTGTTTGCAGAGAACATTGCGAGAGCGGTGCGCTCTCTCTACAAGCAAAGGCACGTGACGCGAGGTGCGTGCTGATTGCAGAGAACATTGCGAGAGCCGTGCGCTCTCTCTACATCCAATCAAAGTGCTGCTACCATTCAATCCACACACCCTGCAAATTCCAGGTACGCAAGCGCAGGGAACAAAACTTCACACACCCTGCAAATTCCAGGTACACAAGCGCAGGGAACAAAACTACCCCATCCTGGGAAACTGTCTTGGTTACGACAATCTTGCGGCCCATTGAGATGACACTCATGTGGCCCACTCACTAACCTAGGTTGCCCTTCACTGTGTTAGCACAACTTACGCATTTATGAGCAAAATGAATGGTGACCAGGGAAGGGAAGGAAATACCAAGGTACGGAGGGACATTTTTCATCAACCTTTTGCTATTATAAGTCATCCTCCCCAATAACAACTGGAAGAGAGTGATTTTACAGTTAGGGATTGATAACAATGCAGATTCCAGCAATGTGACTGCATGGTTGGACGCAGCACCACAGAACACAGTTAATTATAGGGAGATGCTCTTTTCTTCTAGGGCAAGTCTCAAAAAAAAAAAAACCCACTCAAGAGAAGTGTTTGGGAAGAGAGTGGGAAAGAGCCATGGATAAGCCACAGAGAACGCTGCCCCTCTGAGGAGGCAAGTCTCAGTGCAATACCCAAGTGCAGCTGCCTTCAGTCACTCCACCCCAAGGCTGTGTCTAGACTGGCCAGTTTTTCCGGAAAATCAGCCGCTTTTCCAGAAAAACTTGCCAGCTGTCTACACTGGCCACTTGAATTTCCGCAAAAGCACTGACTTCCTACTGTAAGAAATCAGTGCTTCTTGCAGAAATACTATTCTGCTCCCGTTCAGGCAAAAGTCCCTTTTGCGCAAAGCTTTTGCGCAAAAGGGCCAGGGTAGACAGCTCAGATTTGTTTTCCACAAAAAAGCCTCAATCGCGAAAACACAGCTCAGATTTGTTTTCCACAAAAAAGCCTCAATCACAAAAACTTAGATTGGCACGGACGCTTTTCCGCAAAAGTGCTTTTGCGGAAAAGCGTCCGTGCCAATCTAGACGCTCTGTTCATGCCACTCTAGACGCAGCCCAAATGTGTGGTTTAAATAGGGAGGAGCCATGATAGCACTGTTTTAATTTTTTAAAAGTGGGAGGGGATGTCAAGGAAATGCAGGGTTCCCTGGGAGCCCCACCTCCCGTCTCAGAAGCCAGACACCACACCCCTGCCGTGGCCTCCCAGAGGAACCCCTTAGCCCTCATGACTGCGGGGGTGCGGGGGTGGAAGAGGAGAGAGTTCCACTGCAGGAAAGCTGCTAGCTGCTCTTTGGTAGCTACTGGGGAGGATGAACCAGGTACCTCCCCTCTACCTGCCCACAGTCAGAACAGGATCAAGCAGCTCTCCTGCATGGGCTGACGGGAGAGGTGCCCAAAACCTCACCACTACCAGAGCAGCAAATGCTTTTCCCCTACAAGCATTTGGGACAAAGGCCTGTGCCCTCACAAGGAAGGCAGGGCATCCCTGCCTCCTGGGACAGCCTGTCCACGTCGTGCGACGGAGAAGTGGTGCGTCCTCCAAGTCATATTCCCAGTCCAGAAGTGACCACTGTGATCCCTAGTCTGCCCTTCTGCATACCACAGACCATACAACTTCTCCGCCCCAGGAAATTCCTGCAGCAGCTGTTGGAAAAACATCCAGTCTTGATTTAAAAGTTGTCAGTGAAGAAGAACCACCGCCATGTCCCTTGGTAAATTGCTCCAGTGGCTTAATTATCCTTACTTGTTACAAAGGTACGCCCTGCTTCCTCTCTACATTTGTCTAGCTTCAATGTCCAGCCATTAGCTCGTGTTACACCTTTCCCTGCGAGATGGAAGAGCCCATTTTTAAATATTTGTTCCCTGTGTTGATACTTTTAGATTGGGGTTGAGTCACTCATTAACCTCTTTGTTACGCTAAATAGACGGAGCTCTTTGAGTCTGCCACTCTCAGGCAGGCTTTCTAATCCTTGATCCATTCTCGTGGCTCTTCTCCAAGCCCTCAGCCCCCCGCTAAGTATCAACATCCTTCTTGAATAGTGGGCATGAGAGCCAGACACGGGATCCAGCAGCAGTCACACCGGGGCCAAGCACAGAGGTAAAATAACCTTCCAGGATCTCATTACCCCCTTTGGCCATGATGTTGCACCGACAGCTCATGTTCCACTGATTATGCACCACGACCTCCAAATCTTTTTTGGAGTCACTGTTTCTCAGCAGCCATCCAGAGACTCAGCTCCCTCCAAAGGGAGAATGAAGCTGATATGGGAGAGCAAGAGGTTGGCAAGATAGCTCCTATCTCTGTTCCTCTCTATGATGTGGCATCACCCTGACAGAGAGAAGCCAGTGCTTGCCATGCCTGAAGTGGGGAGATTAGGGGCCCAGTTTACACATATAGCAAAACCAACAGCTGCTCCTCATGCTTCCTGCAAACCCATCTCCCAGCGGGCGTGGCTCTTTTGGTGTGACTTTGCCTATCCTTTCAGGGAGGAGTCCCTGCTGTGTATCAGGGGAGCTGCTGCCCTTCTGCCAGTTGGCTACACAAAACTAGTATGGCAAGGCCACTACGGGCAGTGGTAAAATTATATTGCAAAAGTTGCAGGACAGATAGAAACTCGCAGGTGTACGCGCAAGGTTTACCCCCGACCCTCTCCATCCCACCCTGATCCGCACAAATCCTAGCTATTAAAAGAAAGAATTGAGCAACGCTGAGCTGTAACGGACCCATTTCTCTCCTTTCCTGCCTCAGGGTATGTCTACACTACAAAGCTAGTTCGAACTAACGGACGTTAATTTAATTCGATAGGCACATGGGATAGGCACAATGGGGTCATCTGCAGCAGAGTGCCTTTTGGAGAAGGCAACTCAAGAAGGAGATTAAGCAAGAGCCCTTTCTATTATTTGTATTACCATAGCACCTCGGGGCCCTACTTATTAATCCAGACCCCACTGCGCTAGGCACTGTACAAACCCACAGGTGGAGAGGAAAGAGGCCACTAGAAAAAGTGTTTACAAGAGGAAATCCAGCCAGACTAAAGGAAGGACATGATCCACATGCAGGAACCAGAGCAGAAAAAATTAAGGGATAAGAACAAACATTAGGATTCTCCACTTATGATTTTAAGCTATTGATCTCCTGATATTACAAGACCCAGAGTCGGAAAGACTAGGCAAGGCAGATCCATTCTTGGGAACATTATTTTCAAAGCCTTCTGATACTATGCACTTGAAACGGTCACCACTGAAATGGCAGGGGTTTATAATGGTCTTTATTTCCATGAAAAGGCACTAGTATCCACCCAAGTTTTGAAGCCGTGTCATAATTTACCTTATGTTTTAAATATTTGTATTTTTAAAACAATCTATGAAAATATTTACACGAAAGCACCTTGTTTCGCTAAGTAGAAACAGAGGTGTTCCAAGTGGACAAGTCATTTCATTACACAGTGGTCATCAGCTTGAGAGAGCCAGAGCGGAAGCGAAGGATTTTCTTCTTGAGGTTATGTGAGGCTTTGATTTTGACAAAGGCCTTGGCTGCATTTTCGTGCAGCTCCGGAGCGGCCACCGTTTGGATAGGAAGAGTCTGGACAAACTGAGACCAAATAAGCCCTCCGCTTTCATCGGAGTCACTAGTACTTGTGCTCTCCCCAACAAACTCCACCTCGCTCAAGCTGGACTCGCTGTCCCCAAAGCAGTTTGTGGTGTAGTTACTCTGTTCATCTTCACTGGTGTCCACTACGGTGGAATGGAACAGGGATTCGCACTCTGCTGAATACTCAGAGTCACTAGCAACGTAAGCATAAGGGCTGACGTACGGCAAGGGAACTTGCGGATAGACACCGACAGCGTCTCTCCTGTTTCTTCTTGCCCTTCTCAGGGCTTCCTCGTAGGAAATCTCTGCCGATGACTTCCACCGGCGATAATCTCCTCGCTTGTGTTTCGGTTTGGCCACAACTACGTCTCTGCCGTGTCCATGAGATCTGACCACAGATTTATGGAGGCCAGTCTGCCTGCGTGGGTGGCTTGGCTCCAGCAGTGAACTGCTGCTTTTCTTCCCTCTCACAGAGGGCTTTTTAAGCTTCTTATTTGTATCCAAGTCATCGGGGAACCGACACTTTTTGCCAATGGGCTTGGTTTTCTCCCGTGTGGCTGGCGTGTTGCTTTCCAGCAGGCTGGCCAGGTGGGACCTGTGTTTCAGAGTAGAACTCTTCAGAATTTTGACACTTCTGGTGCTTTTATGAAGCTTCAGGCTTTGCTGTTGAGCTGGTATGTAGTGCGCACTCACCAGTAAGCCTTCATCCAGGCTCTGAGAGGAAGAGCCCTCGCTCTTGAAATCCAATGTGGGTCTCTCCTCGAGAGGTGGTAAAGTAGGGTGAGCTGCTTGCAAACTGTTTTTTAGCAGTGTCTTTTTGGGTGGCTGGGCCACTTTATTCTCCTTCTGCAGTGCTGTATGCCTGCCAGGACTTTCCTTAGGCGAGGTAGCAAAGAGTTGGCCATTTTCCTTCGGGATATCCCCTGTCGTAGCTACTGGACACCAGTTTGGTTCTTGAGATGCTGATTTGACATTCCTTGGCAAGTGTTTGCTTTGAAGTTCATTGACATTGCTTGGTGGGTAGACTGCAGCTGTAGGCATCTCTCGGCTATTGTGTAGTTCAGAGGCAACAAGTGTCACACAGCCAAATGCAGGTTCTAGAGCAATGTAAAAGACTTATTAAAAGTATTAAAACAGACTGTTTATTACAGCATATGATGTGTTATTAATTTACACACGGATATATAAAAACAGCCGTTTGTGATGTACAGAAACTTGACAGTGACAGGAATATTAAAACGATTGATATTCATGCACATGACATGCATATGTTTTTTAAAAAGCGCTTTTACACAATATACGGAAGAGTTACTGAGCCTTTCCCAGCTGCTCCAATGGTTGCTCTGGAGAGCAGTGTATTAACTCCAGTGGGAGTCCCACACATGGGATAGGCACAATGGGGTCATCTGCAGCAGAGTGCCTTTTGGAGAAGGCAACTCAAGAAGGAGATTAAGCAAGAGCCCTTTCTATTATTTGTATTACCATAGCACCTCGGGGCCCTACTTGTAGACCCAGACCCCACTGCGCTAGGCACTGTACAAACCCACAGGTGGAGAGGAAAGAGGCCACTAGAAAAAGTGTTTACAAGAGGAAATCCAGCCAGACTAAAGGAAGGACATGATCCACATGCAGGAACCAGAGCAGAAAAAATTAAGGGATAAGAACAAACATTAGGATTCTCCACTTATGATTTTAAGCTATTGATCTCCTGATATTACAAGACCCAGAGTCGGAAAGACTAGGCAAGGCAGATCCATTCTTGGGAACATTATTTTCAAAGCCTTCTGATACTATGCACTTGAAACGGTCACCACTGAAATGGCAGGGGTTTATAATGGTCTTTATTTCCATGAAAAGGCACTAGTATCCACCCAAGTTTTGAAGCCGTGTCATAATTTACCTTATGTTTTAAATATTTGTATTTTTAAAACAATCTATGAAAATATTTACACGAAAGCACCTTGTTTCGCTAAGTAGAAACAGAGGTGTTCCAAGTGGACAAGTCATTTCATTACACAGTGGTCATCAGCTTGAGAGAGCCAGAGCGGAAGCGAAGGATTTTCTTCTTGAGGTTATGTGAGGCTTTGATTTTGACAAAGGCCTTGGCTGCATTTTCGTGCAGCTCCGGAGCGGCCACCGTTTGGATAGGAAGAGTCTGGACAAACTGAGACCAAATAAGCCCTCCGCTTTCATCGGAGTCACTAGTACTTGTGCTCTCCCCAACAAACTCCACCTCGCTCAAGCTGGACTCGCTGTCCCCAAAGCAGTTTGTGGTGTAGTTACTCTGTTCATCTTCACTGGTGTCCACTACGGTGGAATGGAACAGGGATTCGCACTCTGCTGAATACTCAGAGTCACTAGCAACGTAAGCATAAGGGCTGACGTACGGCAAGGGAACTTGCGGATAGACACCGACAGCGTCTCTCCTGTTTCTTCTTGCCCTTCTCAGGGCTTCCTCGTAGGAAATCTCTGCCGATGACTTCCACCGGCGATAATCTCCTCGCTTGTGTTTCGGTTTGGCCACAACTACGTCTCTGCCGTGTCCATGAGATCTGACCACAGATTTATGGAGGCCAGTCTGCCTGCGTGGGTGGCTTGGCTCCAGCAGTGAACTGCTGCTTTTCTTCCCTCTCACAGAGGGCTTTTTAAGCTTCTTATTTGTATCCAAGTCATCGGGGAACCGACACTTTTTGCCAATGGGCTTGGTTTTCTCCCGTGTGGCTGGCGTGTTGCTTTCCAGCAGGCTGGCCAGGTGGGACCTGTGTTTCAGAGTAGAACTCTTCAGAATTTTGACACTTCTGGTGCTTTTATGAAGCTTCAGGCTTTGCTGTTGAGCTGGTATGTAGTGCGCACTCACCAGTAAGCCTTCATCCAGGCTCTGAGAGGAAGAGCCCTCGCTCTTGAAATCCAATGTGGGTCTCTCCTCGAGAGGCGGTAAAGTAGGGTGAGCTGCTTGCAAACTGTTTTTTAGCAGTGTCTTTTTGGGTGGCTGGGCCACTTTATTCTCCTTCTGCAGTGCTGTATGCCTGCCAGGACTTTCCTTAGGCGAGGTAGCAAAGAGTTGGCCATTTTCCTTCGGGATATCCCCTGTCGTAGCTACTGGACACCAGTTTGGTTCTTGAGATGCTGATTTGACATTCCTTGGCAAGTGTTTGCTTTGAAGTTCATTGACATTGCTTGGTGGGTAGACTGCAGCTGTAGGCATCTTCCTACTTTCCAACTGCTCACCACTGGATTCTTTTGACTGCTGACTTAATGGTGAGAAGCTTCCATTATCCAAGGCATTCTTCCCCCCGGAATGCAAACATACTTGTTTAGAATTCTTCAGATTTGCAACGTTCGTATGTGAGACAGCAGCAGTCTGTCGCACACACATGCTCCCATGTCTCAGAATGCCTTTCGTGGGGTCAGCATTGAGACTTGTTCTCGGCTTGTTAGTCCTTACACAATGTGTCTTTTTCTGAACAAGGCTCAAGATGTATCCATCTATTTTTTTGTTGGCTGAAGGACAGGATACAGACCACGAGCTCGGTGGCAGAAAAGAATTGCCTGTTTTTACTGAATCTAGTTCTGCTCCAATGCAAACATCATTAACATTGCAACCACGTCTCTCTTCTTCTCTCAGGGGATTACCAGTCACCGGTAGGAGAAACATCGGACTCTGTACGGCTACTGCATGTAGGGGACTGGGGTAACGGTACACGTCATTCCCATTTTTAGATACTAAGTCACACTGATACTTTGGATGTACAACTGCAACCACATCGAGGGAATTTGAGTGCGGTGAGGAGAGAGAACGGCAGACAGCCCCTGATGCCGGGTCCTCGTGCTGGCCTTCTTTATTATAATCCATCCAGCCTATGAGATCTGAAATGCATTTTGAAAAAGTTTAAAGATTCTGCCATTGTGCAATTCTGCTTTTATTTAGTCTTTTCAAAGATATTTCTGAAGCATTTGGCCTTGCCTACACCCACAAGTTGTACTGCTTTAACTGTGGCAACTCTGTAACCCTGTGGATTCAGTTATACCGGTATAAAGATGCTTATTTTCAGGTCCACATGAAAATGTTTTGTTGGCAACACTATTAGAGAGTCAAGGTGGGTGAGGCAATGTTTTGAATTGAACCAATTTCTGTTGGTAAGACAGAGCTTTCAAACTTAGCTATGTCAGTCAGTGTGTGAAAAAACCACAACTCTTAGCAACACAGCTATGCCAACAAAATCCCCAGTGGAAACGCAGCCATGCTGACAGAAAAGTGATACAATAAAAGAACCTCATCCACCTTGTGTCTCTAATATCCTGGGACAGACATGGCTACAACAATGCTGCGGACAACTTGGCTAACGTCATTAGGGGAGATGGTGTTACTATACACACCGAAAAGCTTCTCATAGCCCTGGTCTACACAAGGTTTTTATTATGAAATAACCCCAGAAAGGTCAAATTCAAGGCCATAGAATTCACAATCTGTACACCTGCTTTTCATCAGGAGTAACGCGAATTACGAAATACTTATTTTGAAATAACAGTAGTGTGGACGCACCGGCGCCACTATTTTAAAATAAGTACTCCCCAGAGTAATTTGAACTAATTACTCCCCAGTGCTTCGTGGGGCTCTAAGTCCAAGGTAGAGCATCTATATTAATGGAGCCTGCCTTGGACTAATTTTGGGGCTTCCCTGTAGTGTGGACACACCAGTTCCATTTTGTTAAATCGGAAGTTAAGTCAAATTTATTCATTTCAAAATAGTTTCCTAGTGTAGACAAGGCCTTAGTGTGTCTACCCTAGGCGGTTCTGCTAGTACAGCTATGCTGATATAGCAATATTAATAAAGCCTGTATAGTGTAGACTAGTTCTTATATTTCTGTACAAGAAGGAGAATAAGCTCTAGTGGTATCAGGTGCCTTTATACCAGCAAAACTGAATCCACACCAGAAAGAGTAACTATATAACTACATTGGTTAAAAAAGAAAACGAAATTCATGCCCCTGACCTACACGGTTACACTGGCTTTAAAAAAAAAAAAAAGAGCTGTGTGTAGATGTAACCCACACACCTAATGGGTGTGATTCACTGTCCCATGGAGTGACACTTATACCACTTAGAGACAATGTGTGGCTTGGCTCTACAGCCGGGGTGGGGAACCTGTTTTGAGTGGTGGGCTGCTGACCCACAGAAAAAATCAGTCAGGGGCTACACACAAGTGAGAATGAAAAAAAATCCTCACTTGTGAGAAAGAGAAAGACACTCCCCACATTCCCCTTGCACACCAGAAGCTGGGAGGGGGGGCGGGGGGGACCAGGCTAGTGGATTGTGTGTGTTCCAGCCAACGGAGGGATGGAAGAACCAGAGTCAGCCCCCCCAATGCTGGGGAGAGGGAGCTCTGAGCCTCAGGAGCTGCATCCAGCTCCCGGGCCTTAGGTTCCCCATTTCTGCTCTACAGCCTTAGCTGAGAGCCAGCTAGTTTTTAGCTCAAACTGCACAGGCTCATGCACTAAGCTCCAGAGGTCCAAGATTTGTTCCGCTTGTGGGTGTTACATAAGAGCTGGACTTAAAGAGCTTTCCACTTTGTATGAGAAACCTCTAGAATGTTCCAATTGACTTTTACAGCCTCCACATGAATTGGTAGATGCAGAACTGGAGAAATCTGAGGATGCATGTGCTACACGATATATTATATGCTAACCCAAAACTAACCAAGAGGGAACAAACAAATTATTAGGCCAGTAAAGCTGTTAACAGTTGGCGGAAGTACAATATTAACAAGCCTTTTTCTTCAGGCTGATCATGGACTGTGACAGTGTTTACATAGAACTGCTTTTACAGGGTTTCAAAATTTTCCAGTTCTCTTTAGGAAAATAATTATCAAGATTCAAAGAACACTAATAATAGAAGCTCCTGGGGGGGAAGGGAACATCAGAGACTCTTTTGACAGAAAGCACAGGAGTGGGAGTTGAGAGTCAGGAGGTTGTATTCCCTGCCCTGCAAGAGACCTCCTCAAAGGCTAGTTACTTGGATCAAAATGAGCAAAGTGAATGTCT